TCTTCGAAAGGCCTGGGTCCTTGATATTCCAAGAGGCCTGAATCGGTTGCAGATTCAAGCCTCAACCCCCCAGAAGTTGCCGAAAGGCTTAGACTTTAGGGTTTAGGGTTTAGGGTTTAGGGTTTAGCGTAACCCTAAACCCCAAACCCGGACCTTAAGGCAGGACTTTGGAGACCATTGCATGTCCAGCATGCTCACGGATTTTGGTGCCTGGGATCCAGATTGTGAGATGCCGGAGTTCCCGGAGCTCAGGCGAGTCATCAGTGTGTCCCTAGAGTTTCTGAGTTGGGAACCCTACTAGCGTAGAGCCCTAAGCAGTAGTATGCTGAAATGACAACTGACCTAGGGGTTTAAGGATGCGAGGTCCTGTGGATTGACAGGGCTCATGGGCTTAAGCCCTAAGCGGCCGCAAGCCAGAACACCCCCAAATCCTGTAACTTTAAGATGCAGGATCCCAGAGATTTTGTGCCTCGATGCCCAGCTTGCGTTGGAGCAGTGCAGGAAAAGGGATCGGAGGGGCAGATCAGTTCGAGGTAGGGATTCGGGTGCAGAGTCTCTGCTTTCAGATTTGGGAGTTTCCGAAAATTAGGGGTACCATATTTAGGGGCCCTTACATTAAGGATCTTACTATTTAGGGTACTATATTAGGGCCCCTTATTTTCGGAAACCCCCATTTGAAGCCTTAAGTACACCAGTCGTATTGCCGAGAAGCCAGCAAGGCCCGGAACCTACTGAACAGCCTGCGTCGCTTAACTTGTGTCTCAGATGTTCTGATAGGGTGTGGGTTCAACACAACCTCTCTGGATGATGCCATGCAAAATATGCACTGACTAAGGCTGAATATATTGATAGGTTTGCGTGTATATACATGTATGTATGTGTGTGCGCAGAGAGACGGAGAGTACGTGAGACGAAGATCCACATATGTATTTGGCGAAGAAGTGTAAAAGATGGCTATATTTGCGTGTGTGTGTGTGTGTGTAAAGATAGATAGATAGATAGATAGATAGATAGCTAGACAGCCTGAGGCCTGAACTCCAAAACCCGAAAACTTTGAACTTTTAAAGTGCGGTCTACAATTACATACATACATACATACATACATACATACATACATCCATACATACATATGTACATATATATATATACACACACGCAGCAAAGAGGTTCGTAAATCTGGATGAACGTATGCGTGCACGCACACACACACACATGCATCCTATATCTGTCTGTATATGTATGCACATGTACGAAAGTATGCTCATACATACATGCATGCATACATACATGCATGCGAGGATGCATATGTACATACATACAAGCATACAGTCACCGAGACATCGGCACGATGACACGTGGCTTCACCGATGTATGCATACATCGATACATACAGTTACATGCGTACATGCATACACATACATGCATGCATGCTTAGTTACATGCACATATTCATACATGCATACATACATGCATACATACATGCAGACGTACTTACATACTTACATACATACGTACATACATATGCACATACATCATACCTACACACATACATGCATAGATACACTTACATGCATACACACGCTTACATACATACCTTGTTGCATACATACATACATACATGCATACATACATACATACATACATACATACATACATGCATGCATACTTACATACACGCATGCATGCATGCATACATAGTTTCAGACATACATGCATACATACATACATACATACATACATACATACATATGTATGTACGTACATACATGCATCCATACATCTGTATACATACATGCGTACAGAGGTACATGCACACATACATACACTCATACAAACAAACAAACAAACATACATACATACATACGTACGTACGTACGTATACTCGTCCACATTCATGCAGGTATACATGTACATGAACATTTAACTGTACATCTAAATATCAGTATTACCATATCCACATCCGTAACCGTATACATATACATACACAGACAGGCACACACACACACACATATATCCCTGTACATATACAGGTACATTGTCTACATATCCTGACAACTTCTCCAAGCACATGTATATTCATCAAATAGGACATCCCACCTATGTATACATTAATATATGTGAGTATATATACATATGTACACATACAGACGTGCCACTTTCAATACATATACACATATAAACATACTCATTCGTATACAAATACATGTTGTTGTTTATGTACACCTGCACATGCATACATCCATATACATCGAGCATGCATTCGCGCATGCGTGTATGCATGCACGCATCCATGCATGCATGCATGCATGCATACCGATACACATACATTCCTACATATGTACAGCATGCATACATGCATACACGCCTGCGCCTTGAGCCAACAGATATGCTCTTGCAGGCCGAACAGAAAGAGCGGGGTCCGCAAGCTGTCGGGGAGGTCCAGGCACGTCGTCGAGGTAATCGGCTTTCGGGTAGGGGGTTGGGGGGGGGGGGAAGTGTTCCGGATGAACGAGGGAGCTGCCCACTGCAGCTGCAAAAAGAACACTGCACTAATGCAAATCCTCCACGAATCGGAACAATTGTTTTTCTCCTTGCCTGATATAGTTTCTGACTGAAGGGGTGCAGGCCACGTTTTTCATGGCAGTTTCAGTGCATACTGAATTGAATGCATTATCTCTGTGGACTTTTCAACAATTGAAAAGCCGCGGACCCATGGGGTTTAGTCTAGCTCTGCGAACCCAATGGCCCTTGGCAAGACGGGGTCCTGCATCGGGTGTTAAGTTCATGCGGGAATATAAGCAGATCTTGAAAGCTTTGCAGTAGAGAGCTTCAGCAACAGCACGCACTCATCGAAGTGACAGCCTAAACCCTGAATGCTCATACCACAAGACCCTAAACCCTAGACCCTAGACCCTTCAAACTCTGAATCCGGCAACCCTTGACCTGACGATGGTATGAAGATCTGAGTTTGTCTTTATACTCAACTGCTAACAAAGCCTACTTAAACTGCCTATTTATATCTAGATATAAGTAGGGACTTTATGTAAGGGGACATAACCAAGGCATGATATCTCCCAACATCTTATTTTTCTTCGTAAGGCCTCTATGTTAGCCAGGCTTGTTGTAGTTGTCTCGGCGCAGGCCATGGGGGCACCGCAGCCCATGCAAGGTGCAACGTCCCTAACCCCTAAACCCAAGCGCCCTACACCCTAAACCATGAAGTGACTGTGGGGATGTAGTGATGTAGGAGTTATTAGGAGTTATTCGTTTTTCGGGTTTGGCGGTTATGGGCTTACGGAAGTGTTTTGGCCGAGCCATGGTTCTTCAGAAAAAGCCCTCAGCTCTATTTTATAGGGTTTAGGGTTTAGGGTTTAGGGTTTAGGGTTTAGGGTGAGCACACTTGTCCGGTGAGCCAAGCACTTATTAAGGCTCTTGCATCATACAAGGCTCGTAAGAACCCTGGCCCTTGTTCTACTTGGAGGATCATGGGACTTAGCAAATAAGGTTATAAGTCCCCTAACTGGAGTTATAGTTAAATATAATATATAACTATAGTTGCCGTATTTATAAACCTAATTACTAAACCCGAAACCCTAAACCCTAATTACTAAGCCCCATGATCCTCAAAGTAGTCCTTCAGGCCCTGTATGTTACCTTCACACCCTAATGGCAGCGAGCCAAGCCTGGACTCCTTTGCGCCAGACTTGGCGGTTTTGTAGGCTCTTGGGGATTGAGTGCTTGAGGGCTTTCGGGTTTGGGGATAGGGGGTTTGACGGTTCAAGGGTTCGAGGTTTTAGATTTCAGACATTTCTGTCTCCGACTGCACCTTAAGTCGTGATGAGCTCCGGGCAAGCTTAGGAAGTCAAGGCAGCTCTGTGGAGTCCAGGGTCGAGGACCCAGAGACTCCAATATCCCTTAATTAAGGAATATACCTTAAATCATATTAAGGATCCTACTATAATTTAAGGAATATTCCTTAATTAAGGAATATTGGAGTCTCTGGGGATGTATGTGCTCGGTAGATCCTGTCATCTATTCACACAGCTGTCCGCGAGGTTCGTGATTTTAAGGCTTCAGGATTGGAGTTTGGGTGTTCTTCTCCTTCTGTTAAGGCTCCTCGCTACCTGGATTCGGCAGACGACCCCCAGCAGAGACGTGAAAGTTAAAGACACAATTCCTTGCCTTTCGCTGGCTCCTGCTGTTAGGAAGGAGCTTGCCATATATTTACGCTTTAAAGAAATGTATGGGATCCAGTTGAGGCCGTCACGGCTTTTGCTCACGGGCCTTTACTCCTGCAATAAAGCTTCTGCCCTGGACAGGATACGCGCAGATGGGTGCTGGCGGTGGCTACATGGGCGGCGCTGGTGGAGGCTACATGGGTGGCGCTGGCGGTGGCTACATGGGCGGCGGTGGCGGCGGCGGCTACATGGGCGGCGGCGGCGGTGGCGGCTACATGGGCGGCGCTGGTGGCGGCTACATGTCACAGTCCCAGCCTCAGCTTTACGTCCATTCCAAGGCCTCAAGACCTCATATTACAGCCTATACTTCTAAAGCCGAAGTATGGAGAAAGGAAAGATGCGAAGAAACGTAAACGAACCGGCACACGCCCAAGCCTGCCAAGATCCATCTCATTTACGTTGAGGCCGCTGCTATCTTGGGCTGTCGAGGCTTCAACGAGCCAACTGCATTAGGATCCAAAGAGTGATAGTGAACCCTAAACCCTAAGCCCCAAACCCTAAACCCTAAACACTAAACCCCATGAAGCTGCTCGGAACCCACAAACCAAGCCCTTGGAGCCCTTATAGAGGGGTTTGGGGGACCCCTGGAGCCTCTGCCTCTTGTTCCTCGCCATGTAGTCAAATATAGGGGCTTAAATAGTTGTCAATGCTATTTTGGGGGGTCCTCATTACACTTTCACTATAAAGGACCCCAAAGCCCTATTCGAATCAATAAGGGCCGTACATTAAGCTCTCAGCCGCTTCTCCGGTCAACTTGCCCAGGCTCGGTGCTCCCATGGTCCCCGTCACAGGCCTGTCACATTATGATTTAGGATCTCGGTTTTCTACGAGATAACCCTAAGCTGAAGCCGGAAAGCAGACATGCGAAGTGTAGGAGCGGGCTTCACTGCACTAGCCTTTGGCTTAATGATGGCCTCATTCAACCTCTGCTGCCAACCCAGAACGCTAAGACTTAAGCCGTAGCTACCTATACTAGCATATTGTATTATGGTATAGTATGGTAGACCTCAATTCGTGAACCCGAAGCCTCGAAACGGGCCCTTGCCAACACTGCGCAGGCATGGGTGGAATGGGCATGTCACATCCCGGAATGGGTGCTCCCCCATTGCCGAGTCCGAACCAGGTGAGAAGGGATAGAAACTACTTGGAGGAGGGTTTGGTATCAGGAGTGCCTGCTATAGACCCTGCTTGGAGGATCATGGGATTTAGTAACTAGGATTACAAATAAGGTAACTCTATAGGGATAATAAACATACTGTCGACACTAGGCCTTAAGCCCCTAAACCCTCAACATTACTGCAAACCCATGCCCTGATCCTTAAACCCTAAAGCTCTAAACCCGCCCTAAACCCAGAAATTCAAGCCGACAGCCCTGAAGCCCCTAAACCCTAAACCCTAAGCCTTAAATCCTGAGGTGTAGGGTCAGGCCCAGGACCCGTTGCTTCCACTTAGGTTCAGTGCGGTTTAGGGTTTGTGGTTTAAGGTT